ACCACCAGAGCTCCTATAACCCATCTAGTTTGTAGTAGTTTGTGACAGCAGCCCTAGGAAATGAATATAATGGTCAAAGGAAGCATGTTAGGAGTCTCTTAAAAAGTTGGAAAGCCCTCGGGATGTTTGTGTGAATGGTAGAGGAAGGCAGTCAGGGACCAAAATGCATGATGACAGGTTTAGATGAATATTGAACATTCAAAAGAGAATAAAAGTAGCCAGCGAAGGTGTAGGCTAGGGCTCATGAAAAAATGTGAACCTCGATAGATTTGGCAATTGGCCACCAAAAATAAGAGCAACATTTTTTTTTTTTTTTTCCGGCTCCAGATTGGTGAGACCCATAGACTCCACATTAAATACCATCAATGGGTGATGAGCAGGTGATACATTTTCTTTCATAAATCCAGACCCCTTCCCCCAATTTCCTCTGGAAATATGTTGGGTAAAAACACATTTAATTCCTTTTCAATTAGTGAAGGAAATAGGAACCTTTAAAAAAATCTTTGGCCTCAGAAATGGAGTAACAGGCAGGTCTCAGCAAACATTCGCTTCTGGCCCCTGACCTCTCCCTTACCTGCCTTAAAAAACGACCACAAAACCACTGCTGTGGACTACAATTCATGTGACTCAGAGGACAAAACAGAACTTCCCCCTAGAGTCTCCAAAGCTGTATTCTTTACAGATGGGGGCACTGGTGGTACAGTGGATTACCACTCCATCCACTCTGATCCTAACCCAGGAACCATTAGGCACCTACCTGATACATGGATGGCACTCAATTAATATCTGAAGATTCACATTGTTGTGGAGTATATTCCCCCAAAAGATACATTTAAATCTTAACCCCTTGTACCTGGGAATGTGACCCTGTTTAAAAATAGGATCCTATTATGGTAATGAGTCCTGCTGGGGCAGGGTAGGTCCTAAACCTCATTCTTCCTGAGCCACATCTTTTAAAAAGAGAAAACAGACAAGGAGAGACACACACAGCGGAAGAGACGTCACATGGTAACAGAGGCTGATGCATATACAAGCCGACAAACACCAGGATTGCTGGCAACTCTGGTAGCATAGTGCCGAAGGCACTTGACTGCTAACCAGAAGGCTGGTGGTTCAAACCTCCCACCAGCCACTCCTCGAAAGGAAAATGGGGCAATCTACTTCCGTAGTGCTATTGCCTCAGAAACCCAAGGAGGGGTCCCTGTAAGTCAGGTCTGACTCAACGGCACATAACAACAACATCAGCAGCAGGGCCTTCCCCTAGAGCCAATGCCCTGATTTTAGTGTCCAGAACTGGGAGAAAATAAATTTCTGTTCTTTCAAGTCACCCACTTTATGGTATTTTTATTATGGCAGCACTGAGATACTAAGATACACATGTTCTCTTGATGAAATAGCTCAGATCCCTCCAGCTAAAGGTCTTTCTAGAAGAATTCTGGGTGACCCCTCATCCAGTCTAAACTTGCTGTCTTTTCATCTAAATGTGATCCTGGCTCCAAAAAGTCTGGGACCCACCATTATTTTGCCTGTACCTCCTTGGACACCAATCAGACAAAAGATAAGTTTGCAAAGCAGTCTCCTTAGAGTTCTGGTCCTCCCACTTAGCCTTAGGCAGGGTTCCTGGTTGATGACTTGCTGAAATTACTATTTTCAGAGTTCTCTTGCTGTAAAAAACCAGATGAATGATAAAGCTTATCAGTGTCACCATTAAGAAAAGGAAAACTACCTCCTCTGTATTCCTAGGCCCCTTCTGCAACAATCTACTCTTTAACCTAAATATTTTAAAATTCTCAGGTAGATCTGGACATGGGAAGATCAAAAAAGACAAAGAACACCCAGCACACAGTAACTCTAGATCAATGGTCAGGCAAGCCTAAATTTTTACTCATGAGTTCTTCCCACCTTCTTTTTTTTTTTGCTTGTTCCCTTATTTTGCATCATTTTTAATTTAGGAAAAGATGACTAATACATTAGATCATTTTCATTGCTGGGTCTTGTTGGGCTTCAGATGTCTTTAAGCCTCCTTAAAGGGGGGAAAAAAAAGAAAAAAAGGCATAAAATATGTCAGGGAAACGGAGTTCCTATCATTTCACTCACAAATTTTGCCTTTTAAATGTAGTTCCTCTACCAATAGTTCAGTGAAAGATGATTTCCTTATTGTCATTTATTAGCCATGACAGGCAGCAACGCTTTTTTGATATAGTCTCACTTCGCCACAATTATCTCGTGATGCCTACAAGGCAAAAGACTGCTCGAAACTCCTTCCTTCTGGAATGCTTCTCCCAAAGGCACCAGTTCAAAGCAAACCTCTATTAACTGGAACACTGACATCTGCAGAATCCTCTGGACAGAAGATTCCACTATTCCTATAGTGATACCAGAAACTCAGACATAATTACTTACACTCCAGTCACCAGGAAATCAAGTTCAGCAAAAGTCTCTAGGTGGAAGCCTGATGTACCCACAGTGAGAGCTTCACCACCACATAAACCACCCAACGAGAGTGACAACAGAAATGCTTGCATGTTAGCAAGGGCCCTTCCCTGTTAACCTGCCCCAACAGGAAAATAATTCTTTTTTTCACTAAAACTTAATATAATCAGGACAGAGTATTAGTATCAAAATAAAATAATTAGATGCACTCTGGGCTTTATTGGTAGCTCTGGTGGCATAGTGCCTAAGGCATTTGACTGCTAACCAGAAGGCTGGTGGTTCAAACCCACTAGCCACTCCTTGGAAGGAAGACTGGACAATCTACTTCCGTATACATTCTGCTCAGAAACCCAAGGAGCGGTCACTATGAGTTGGGACCTACTCAACAGCAGTGAGTTTGGTTTTATGGGCTTTTTTAGCCCCTAGAGTACTGATGAATGTGATATAAAAATTACACACTCTTGCTAACAGGGCTTACAACCCATTAATTTGCAGCAACAAAAAAAATCTAGTATGTCTTCTGTCTTTAAGTATCTTTATTGATTTCTTTCTTGGTGGCATAAATGGTTAATTGCTCAACCACAAGCCATAAAGTTGGCGGTTTAAAACCCACCCAGAAGTGCCTTGGAAGACAGGCCTGGCGATCCGCTTCCTCAAGGTCACAGCCTTGAAAATCCCATGGAGTTCTACTCTGCACACAAGGGAGCAGTTGACTTGAAGGCAGCCAACAACATGGATATCTTTCCTCTACATACACAGTGAAACCTGAGAGCCAGAATTCAAGGGACTGCCTTGTTTTTCCGGGTCTCGCTAGTTTTCTGCCTTTCAGTCTTACCTTCTCTTTTCTATCAATAGTTTTAGTGGAAAATATTTGAGTTTTCCTTCTCTAACAAGTTTCTACCTTACACAGATTCTGGTTTTGCAGTTTTACTGCATTTTGTTTTAGGCATTTTAGAGCAAACAGAGGAAGACAAAGGAGAAGGTAAGAAAGAAATGAATTGGAGAGCAGAATAGAAATTTAGACAGAGAATAAGGTGACAGGGTGGTGGCAGGAGGAGACAGAACTGGGGACTGAAGATTATGTAAAGCCTTTTCTTAGCATTTTCAACCTGGTCCATACAAAAGCATCACCATCACCCCTGGGGAAAGCCCACAGCATTAGTATCTCAAATCGTTCTTTGAGCACTGAAACATACGGAGTGTGCTTCACAGGTATCAAAAATGTCAGGAATGCAGAGTTGGGCATACGATTATAGTATCAAAATGAGCATACTGCAGTTTGGTAGATTTTAACAAGGTTTTAATAATATTGGTAAAGAGCCAAATTACAAAACGCCTTAGAATATGGAATATAAAACCTCAGAGACAAAATAAAAACTCACAAAAATATAAGAACACTTTAAACAGGTAATAATCTTTAGGATAAAGAAACCATTTTCTTAACAAAGGTACCGAGCATGTTTAATAAAAATTAAATGAGATTAAAGATGGGGTGCAGGGCACACATCCCCCGATGCTCAGTGATCAGGAAGGTGCTATTTGTGTAGAGGAAGGCACTTCACCAGGGGCACAAATGAGCCCCAATCACCAACAGATCTGGAATAAACTGCTTCCAGGTGGGCTGAATGCCTCAAATTCCACTTACAGGGCAGAAGTTAATTTCTTCTTCAGTTGTAGAACAGTCTTAGAAATGAACTGTATTGGCCCTGAAGGAACAGTGATGCATTTTCACACAGAACAGTGGGTAGATGCCCCACCTCTCCCATCCACTCAACACTAATGGCCACCACTGCAGAGTGTGGTCTGGGTGGTGCAGAGGCTGGCTTCTCCAGGAACAACTCATTATTCAGATCAACTAAATGGAAGAGCCCCCTGTGACAAATAAACTGAAAAGAAGAGGCAAAAAACAGGAGTACCCACCCTACCCCAAAGAGATAACAAGCCACTACCCTTACATGTAGCAGGGCAGCAGAGTGCAGAGAGCATCCCTGGTTTGGTTCCACTTATTATCTGTCAGGACAGACATGCCATCTAGGTTTTTTGGTTCGGGGAGGGGGTTCCCCTCAACTCCCTACAACACATAGCTTAATGCCATTGTCATTTGGGCCCTATTATTTCCCCCAAGGATATTACATGTTATGTTTCACTTGGGCCAGATGTTCAAATCAGTGTGTCTGCTCATCCCCACTAAGAACACAACAATCATTTATTTGTCCTTCCAATACACGTAATAGTGAAGAGTGGCTGCTGAAACACAGTAGATGGCGGAGAGCTGGTGCCCCTCTGCAGAGCCACCAGCATCCCAGTAGGCCAGGGGCCACACGGGGAGACCCTCACAAAGCCCTGTGTGACAGGCCTGCAATAGGTACCATAAACCAACAGCTCAAACAGATGCAGCTTGTATGTGACAAGAGAGACAGGGAGGAAGATTTGAGGCTTTATATTCTTTAGATGTCTACTTTCGCTGCACTGGCTATTAAAAAGTTATGTGTAACTTCAAGATGTAAGGCATTAGCAGCTACTTAGAAGAGGATAATCCCAATCTTCAGGAGATTTAATGATGTAACTCACTGAAGCTTCTGACTCGGTCTGCTGTTAATTGAATCAAAGTCAATGACGATCTTGCTGCACTTTGGCGTAAATTTCCTGAACATGAAAAAAAACAAAATACAGAAAGAAATTATCTGGTGACTAGTTAAAACAATTTGTTTACTTTGGCTTAACCTACACTTTCTGTGGGGAGAAAACATTTCCCGGAATTCACTTGATATTTTCTCTCTATAGGAGCCAATTATAGTGCACCATACCGAGAGAAACATGGGCCAGAAAAGATTAAGACAAAAAAAGATGCATGGGGTTGCTTGGTTTGTGTGTTCTTTGGCTATTGGAGTTCATGAATTATAGGGGAGTCAAAGGAATTCTAACAAGTTAGCTGCACGACACGACATCCAATGCTAGTTCTCCCACCAGATTTATCTTATTTTCTACGAAATTCCTGCAGCCAACCTGGAGTGGCTGGCTCTAAAGCAAAAAATAGTAAATTTTCTTTTGCCTCGTACATGGCAAGAAAACAACTAGCTTTAGTGAGGAGTAATCTTTTAAATCTCATTCTAAAATTGCAAAAGTAAAATAAAACCTCTATACTTTTTTACTCGTTAATGAACCTTCTACGAAATATTTGGTGAGTAAACATATTCTTTTAAAAATCAGTAAACAGAAGATTATGTAAATAATTTGGACTTAAAGTCTCACGAGGCATAACACTTTAGCTGAAGAGATTCATTACATGTAAACTCTATCCCTAAAGATGAAAACAACAGAGAAAGTATGTTCCCTACTATGATAATCCAACTGCTGACCACAAATCTGGGAAAGACACTGCTTTGTTAAGCTTTACAGTCTGAAAACAATTTCCACCATGAATCAAAGGTGGTTAAATTTACTTACAAGTAAAACATACCTCAAAATCTTTCCCTGGCAAAGATAATCATGAATATCTAAATGGTTTCAAACTTCAATTTAAAATGAGTCTATAAAGAGAATTCCTGGTGTTTCAACCTGGTAGGTTGCTTTCATCCTAAATTTTCTATGCCGGAGTTGTTGCATGTGCAAAATTTACAAAGATCTAATGTTAATATCATAAAACTTGTGAATTTTTAAATTCCTCACTGCTAGAATAATTAGTCTATGCCCTGGAAAGTTACTGATATGAAAGTACCACCATTAACCATACTGTCTTCAGATACTTCTGTCATTGCTCCTAAAAATCTATCCATAAAGTAGTATTTTACTTTGCATTCCACAAGATTGAAAAAGACACTTCCGGGTGTGGAAGCCAGATGTCACAGTCAAAATCAAACACTACACAAGGTCAAGAATGTTTCTTCGCGGGCTTTCTTACCACCCTTTCCCTAAGTTCTTCCTGCTTACCTGAACGTAACCCCAGCCATATCAAACAGAAGCCTTGCAGCTGTTGTCTCATCACTGTCATGGTATTTATCAGACATGAAAATAACTTCTTTGATACCTTAAAAGGTAACAATGGAAACCCCATTAGTATATGCAGATACAGATAGTGCAAAAGACATGCAGAAGCAGATGGAGCCCTGGTAGTGTCTATGATTAATTACCTCTTCAGAGTGTGCTTGCAGACAGTGTCCAGTTACTGAAATATATATCTGCTGCTTTCTAATACAGCAAAGGATGGATTATATTTAATCTGCCCTCCAGTCTTTATGGATTTTTTTTGAACAAATGCAAAGTGAAAACATGTCAAGTAGTCAAGCCTTGATCCGATTAACAAATTTTCCTTACTGCAGGCAATCAAATATTCTCTATTCACAAGGCAACTACTCTTAACTCAAGAGGCTAATGGGGGGAGTGGAGAGTGCCGACAAATGCACTGAACTTCCAAGAATGCCTCTGCAAACCAATTCAAACCAGCTCTGTGGAGAACAAATCTGTTTTCCTTTCTTGATCCCACCAGGTAGCACTAACTTGAGAGCCAGGAATCCAGAGGGCACTTGAGCCAGCACCCTGCACCGAAGGCTGCTCCTCCACTAGCCTCTGAAGGAAGCACGTGGAAGTGGCGTTCTGCCCACACACCTGCCACCGCCTCCACAGTGGAGCACGGCCGAGGAAAACCCTTGAAGGATCACACAGTAGCAGCAAGGGAGCCCACAACACTAGCAAATGGAGACCTTTGATTTTGATACCACCAGACCTCTTCTGCTCAGAGATCCACGGGGCTCATGATAAACAGCTCCTTTAAACCACACATCTGGCTAAACATGATAAGTGTTTAAATCTCCAGCCAAGAGTTTTATGGAGATAAAGTGTAACTGAAACTAAGATGTGACAGTGTGAAAAAGGTGAAATATTCAGAGTACCATGGTGCAAGTTTATAGTAACCATAATGTAAGAAAAACTCAAAGCAGTAGTGTTTAAGTCTTAAGGTATTTATATGCAGATATGTTTAGATCTTCAAATATCTACCACGTATTAGAAACAAAATTTCATATACAGACTCCCAACTGACCTTGTTTCTGACAGAAGTTCATTTTTCTCCCTCCCCCCTAATCTATGCACAGTATGTCAGAGAATAGGAAATTGACAGTAATTGTATGCAATGCCCGTGTTGTTTTTTGGCAGCTTGTAGTTTAAGAAGTTGCAAACTAAATTAAAAACATGCAAAGAATCACAGAGGATGCAATTAGTCTTAGAATACCTGGCACCATTCAAAAACAAAGCACAGGCAATATCTTGCAAAGTTGATAGTGCAATTAATTTAGATCTAAACAATAGCAATTTAAGATCAAACACATCTGCAATGAGCTACTGATGAGCAGGCAGCAATGCAAATGTGACAAATGGAAACAGCCTGGTTCCTACCTGCCTGGATGATGAGCTTAGCACATTCATTACATGGGAACAAGGCGACATACATGGTGCAGCCTTTCACATCAGCCGAATTTTTGTTCATAATAGCATTCAGCTCAGCATGGCACACTGTGGGTTTGAAAGACAAAGAAAAACTTGGATTGCAACTCACGAAGAATTTACGAAGAGTGTGGAAGCTTTCCATTCTCCCCTTTGAACTAACATATAATAGATGCAATTTTTTAAAAAAGATTACAAATGGCAAGAATCGAGACTATCAAATGAGGGTCAAGTGGTCTGAGGGTTGACAATTAGCAGCACAACTGTTAACTGCAGTAGCTCTGGGTCTATAAGCACCTAGAGCAGCCAGGAGGGGCCAAGGTCAAGTATCTTCACCCACCCTAAATGTAATCATAGCTCACTGCTCCACAAGACTCTGGGGTATTGAATTGCCCATAAAAAATGGCTCATTTGTGTGTTGATATGCACACACAGGGCTATTGCTGTGGCCGTTAAGAGGGAGAATTTTAAGAGCAAGGGAATCAAGAAGTGAAACTGAGCATTTCCATCCCGAAGGGATGTGCTCCACCTCATCGTTCTCAGGCCACATTCACATGAGAAAAAACTCCAAAGTATAAACAGCAGTTTGTCTTTTATATGAAAACCATTCATTTACTTAATGACAATGAAAACACGAGTTGTTGATATGCTGGCCCATTCTGCCAACGATGCCAAAATGAAGATCCAGGGTCATCCAGGAACTTGCCTGAATTCAAGGTTAAAGGGGCACTTGACTCTCCGTTCCTCAACCTGTCAAAGCCAACCCATCTTCCCAGGCCCAGTTTTGCTAGGTGTTCCTACCACTTAATCCACAGGGGGCTTGCCTCCTTGCAAAGAAGAGAGTATTCCTCACAGCACTGATTTCATTTTGAATCATGTATCTGCTTTGTGAGATTTCTGTATTGCCATCTTTTCTGCTGGTGAGGTTTCTGTATTGACATCTAATTTTCTGAGTGTGTTATCTAAAACCACATCATAAACTCCTTATGGCAGTGACTGTAAAACTTGTCTGCACTTTGGAATCCCCTGGGAGGCTCCCAAAATACTGCTGTCTGTGTCCCATACTCAGAGACTGTGATGGTCTGGGGTGTGACCTGGGCTTTGGAATGTTTAGGAGATTCCCCAGGTGATTCTAATGTGCAGGCAAGTTTAGGAATCACTGCCTCACAGACTCCTTTGATATCTTCTCAGTTTGCTTCCTGGCCAATGCACCCCATGTGCAGCTACCGTTCATCTGTCAGTGGAGGGCTGAGTGTTGCTATGATGCTGAACAGGTTTCAGGAGAGTTTTAGAATAAGACGAACTAGGGAGAAAGGCCTGGCAATCTACTTTTGAAAATTAGCCATTGAAAACCTATGGATAATCATGGTTCAATCGATTCTCTTCATTACAAATGGGATTATTATGAGGTCGGGGGCTGACTCGACAGCAGCTAATAACAACAACATGCACACAAGTGCTAAAATTAACATTTATTGAATGAAATAATGAGTGACTATCTGGCCATAGTCCAAATTATCCAAAACATCTAGAATTATAAAAATAAGACCTTCGAGAGTTCCCGCAAGATGGCGGACTAGGCAGAAGGACTGCACAGACCCTCTTCAACAAAGAAAAGGAAAACCAATTAACACAGACACAGAAGATAATCATGGACCGCTGAGCCTGGAAGGGAAGGATACAGAAGTAGACTAAACCCCAACTAGCAGAAAAATTTGCGTGAAAATACCAAAAAAGGAGACATACGGAGCTGCAGTCTGGCAGGGACCTGAGCGCCCCTGACGGCACAAACAACTTGGACATTCCCAAGTGGTGTTAGGACCTAAAAATTAACCTAAAAATCACCCTGCTAGCCAGGGACTGCACGGACTGTGCACAGTGGCTGGGGAACAAATAGAGAAGGTGAAGAGAAAGGTGGGCTGAGCTGCGGACTTTTGCCAGTCCGGAGAACGCTGCCATTT